CCAGTTATTCAATTCCTAGCTACTTATCCAAGATAAAAGTTATATATGGAATACATATATATTTCTAGACTATACATCTGTATCTCCAAATACTTGTATACAAACAAGTGTTCATAGCATAACATTTACAATAGCCAAAAGCTTGAAAACAACTCAAATCCCCATTAGTAGATGGATTTTAATTGTGGTATGTCTACACAATTGCAATAATGCTCAGTAATGAATAATTAATTTTATACAGGCAACAAGGATGAATCTCTTCTGCAAGAAAAAAAGTATATACTGTATGGTTTTCATTTGTTAGAACTGAAGAAAATGCAAGCCACTGTACAGTGACAGCAGATCAGTGGTTGCCTGGGGACTGGGAAGGAGCAGGATGGAGATTAAAAGGGAGATATGAGGTGACTTTGAAGAATAATGGATACGTTTGCTGTCTTGATTGTGGTGATAGTTTCAAAGATACATATTAAAACTTTTAAAATCAAACACTTTAAATATGTATAGCTTATTTATGTTAATTATACCTCAAAACTTAAAAGGGGGAGGGGACAAAGAGAAGAGAAATACGGGTATAAATTGCTGAAGGCTCACCAACTTAAGAGTTTTCACATGAATGGCTATCCTGAAACCTGCATTTTAAAAAAATTATTTCTGAGTCAGGGCCCCAGGATAGAGTGCAGTGCAACATTACAACTCACTGTAGCCTCAGCCTCCTGGGCTCTAGCAATCCTCCCACTTCAGCCACTCAGCCTGTAGCTGGGAATACAGGTCAACAACACCATGCCCAGCTAATTTTTAAAAAAATTTTTTTGCAGAGATGGGGTCTCACTATGTTGCCCAGGCTGGTTTTGAACTCCGGGGCCCAAGCCATTCTCCCACCTCACCCTCCAAAAGTGCTAGAATTACAGGCATGAGCCACCATGCCTAGAAAAAGCTGCATATTTTTAAAGAAACATGATTTTTGTGGGGGAACTACCAAGTAAGCAGTTTCAGGTAAGACCTAAAAGGGATTCCTTCCTCAAGTGGACTGCAAAATTACAGTTGGAAGAGGTGCATTAGTTAGGTTACAACTGCTAGGTTAAAGCTTCCAACATGGCTGTTCTTTTTCAACATTTAATTTTTCAGAATTGGCTTTTCAATCATCAAACAAGAAGAAATATTTAAAAATTAGTAATATCGAGGTCAGAAATGTAATCAAGGAAATAGGAAATACAAAACATACCTCTTAGATCGGGGTGTCCAATCTTTTGGCTTCCCTGGGCCACACATAAAATAGCTGATGAGCTTTAAATTTCTGCAAGAAGTCCCATAATGTTTTTAAAATTTTATGAATTTGTGTTGGGCCACTTCGAAGCTGTCCTGGGCTGCAGGTCAGACAAGTTTGCCTTAGATTACTGACTTATTACAAGAAAAGCCTGAATAGAAATGTAGCAAAAGACTTTCTAGGCAAATTTGGTACTTTTTGAAGGATTTTCCATTCTTACATTTGTACTTCATTCACGTGAAATGGGATGCATGCTCCACAGAATGTCAACTTAGGGGTTCTGACATTGCAATGCAATTCACACAGATAGCATTTAAGAGTAGCTTTAAAGTCAGCAAGATAAACCTAAGTTCAAACTGTAGTTGTGGCATTTACTACTGACTGACTTTAGGAAGTTACTTAAGCCTATAAAACCCAAGTTTGCTTACATCAAAAAAAAAGAGAGAGAGATTAACATTCACAGAATTGCAGATTAACTACACATTGAACATATACCGCATTGCTTCATATATGGTCCTAATTTTCTATAAAAAAATGTTCTTGTGTCATCTTATGTCAATTCAAACATTTGTTTTTTAATCTAAAAGATTTGAGAAGTGCTGAATTGAGATAATTTTATCTGTAGTAAGTATGCATCTCAGAAGCAAGGTTTCTGAGAAACTAAAATTTGCTTAGACCAGGAAATGGCAAACTTCCTAAAAAGGGCCAAACAGTAATGTTTTAGGTCTTATGGGCCACAGATGTTCTCTGTAGCATATTGTTTTTCTTACAACTTTTTTAAAATTTAAAACCTCAGCAAATGGCTATACTGAACAAGAAAGTAATTCTACAGTTGGCTTTTTTGTTTTGTTTTTTGAGATGGAATTTCATTCTTGTTGCCCAGGCTGGACTAGATAAGACTGCAGTGGTGCAATTTCAGTTCACCACAACCTCCACCTCCTGGGCCCAAGTAGCTGGGATTACAGGCACCCACCACCACACCTGGCTAACTTTAGGTATTTTTAGTAGAGATGGGGTTTCACCATGTTGGCCAGACTGGTCTCGAACTCCTAACCTCAGGTGATCCACCCACAATGGCCTCCCAAAGTGCTGGGATTACAGGTGTGAGCAACTGTACCCACCTGGCTTTTTCAAGATGGAGCCTCACTGTCACCCAGGCTGGAATGCAGTGGTGCAGTTACAGCTTCAAACTTCTGGGTTCCAGTAATCCTCCCCCTCAGCCTCCTGAGTAGTTTAGACTATAGATGTGAGCCCCTGTGCCTGGCTGAGAGTCTGCTTTCTATTATACTCTGCTGCTTTGTTACCAGTATCCTGATTTGGTCTCTAACACAAGTTTGTCCTCTTGGTCTTCTCAAGAAGCAGTAGAGGGATATGGTTTGAGAACTTTGTCAAACTACCTCTGAGAATGTTGAGAAGAGAATGAGAGGTAAATAAAGTAAAGCAATGCTAATCAATGGCCTCAGTGGCACAGGCTAGGAGAGCTCCACAATACTTCACAAGAAACCATTCCTTCATATTAACTGTATTACAAGTATCTGCAAGAAACACTGACTGGAAGGTCATCATCTGAATATATCTATCTCTGGGTATTTCTATCAGATACTTCTCTTCATGGTCCTACTGGAACATTTTATTTGGTTTAAAGGGTCAATACCCTGAGAATGGGAAAAATTAAAATGTTTGGGATACTATGCCATTCAAAAACAATCTCTGGCATCAGTCATCCAATACTCCCATTCACTCCTTCCTAGAAAGACAGAACCCCCAAGTTCTAGATGGTGCACATCCACCTTCCCCAGTAAATATATGAATGATACTGGGAGACAAATTTCTGATTATTGGAGAATAAAGATGCAACACAGAATGCGGGTAAGGCTAGAAAGAAAAACACTATGATATTAAGAACTGGAAATAAAAGTAGGAACTCATTAATTCTACCTTTCTACTTCTCTTCCTATCTATGTACTTCTTTTCACTCCTTCATCCCCCAGTGTTTAAAAACAACAACAAAAAAGCACATCTATTACAGCTATTACCCACATCTTGATGTCTAACTACCATCCCTCAATCAGAGGAATCCGAGTTCCCAAAGAAATGGCAAATTCCATGGATGGGGCAGGACGAGTATAAGATGAGCCTAGAACATTGTATTGTGTCAGAGTAAAGATGTGCTTAAATTTATTTAAAAATACATAATGGGCAAATGGGACAGAAGAGAAACTTCCTTAGAGTAGAACAACAATCTAACAAGTGTTGAAGGAATGATGAAGGTTAAATATATGACCCTTTTGCATCATCAGAGTGATCACTGATTCAGGTCAGACTTAGAGAATGCTTAAACTAGTGGAGGAAAATTGACTGGAAAACAAGCTATTTACAGAGTCAGGAAGTATCTCCCCACAAATTGCCTTTGTTATTATGAATCACAAAGAAAAAATAGTAATTTCACAATGGAAAAACCCAACACCACCCTCCCCAATAAAGTGTTCCAAGTTGTTACCTTTATAGGTACAAATATTATGTGCCGCACATCACTTACCGAGTCCTCATGGAAAAATGTGTAGTTAAATCCAATTATAAGGGAACCTCAGGCAAATCCAAATTAAGAGACATTCTACAAAATAATCTCAAAAATATCAAGGTCATTAAAAACAATGAAAGAGGTAGCAATTTTGATTAAAGGAGTCTAAATGCAACGTGTAATCTTTGGACTTGAGCAGAAAAAAAAATCAACATATTATTGGGATAACTAAGATTTAAATAAAGTCTGTAGGTTACATACTGTTATGTATCAATAATAAATTTTCCTTCTGGATGCAGTGGCTCACACCTGTAATCCTAGCATTTTGGAAGGCTGAGGTGGGAGGATCACTTAAGCCCAGGAATTCGACAGTAGCTTGCACAACATAGCAAGAGCCCATCTCTATAAAAGTTTTAAAAATTAGGTGGGCATGGTGCTCTGTGCCTGCAGGCCCAGCTACTTGGGAGGCTGAGGCAGAAGAATCGCCTGCCCCCAGGAGTTAGAGGCTGCAGTGAGCTATAATCACCCCTCTGCAGTCAGCCTAGGCAACAGAATGAGGCCCTGTCTCTAAATAAATAAATAAATAACTGGAATGTTATATTGTAGCTAAGTAGACATCCTTGTTCTTAGGAATGCACAATAAGTATTTAGTTTGAGAAAGATGTCTGTAACATATTCATATGGCAAAACTATGTATAAATACATATTGAGAGAATAATTCAAGGTGTTAACAACGGTTAAGCTAGGTAAAGAGTATATGGGAGATTTTATATAACTTCTATAATTTTTCTGAAAGTTTTTATTTCAAAATAAGTTTAAAGAAATATTAAAATATACATAAGATAAAATCCCATTATTTAGAGAGAACTATAGTAAAGACCTATTCGTCTAACACGTTTTAACAAAGTAGGATCACATAAAAATATCTATTTTCTTTTTCAAGTTAATATATTCTGAACATCTTCCAATATCCACAGCTAAAAATTTACCTTTTCCCATTTGATATTTGCATAGTGTGCCACTGGATTGGTAAACTACAAAATACTTCAGCAATCTATTTCTGTTTGCTGTTAAAACAATGATGCACTGACCATCCTTTAACATACCTCCATGGCAGACAGAAATTTACTTCTGAAGACGGAAGATTCATCTCTGGGGATATATTCCTTAATTTTAAACCTACATACCATATAAAACAATCTGTGAGTCCTTAGCTACAGAAAATTTTTAGTAATTTTATTCATTTTTCAAAGCTTTACAGCTTTTAGTGAAAATAATGATCACTGTAAATATAAAATGGCAATTACAGGAATAATAATCCGAAACTCTTCCTGGCCAAAAAACCAGTTAGCGTATGGCAAATATCCTTCCACACATTATCTTCAGGCATATATTCACATTGAAAGATCATCATTTATAACTAGATCTTACCAAGAGAGCCGCAGCTCTATTTCTCCCCTAAATACGAATTCTATTCCTGTTCATGGTTCTATGTCATCTTGATGGATTTGTTAGGAAGATCCTCTTCCATTCTCAATACTTTTACGGGGTTTACCACTAGCACGGACTCTCCAAAAACTTGAAGATGTGCATTCAGACAGAAGTTGGTAACACACTTCTCATTTCTAAAGCTTTTTGTCAATATGGACTTTCTGATGATATGTAAGACGTGAACGGTGACGGAAGTCCTTATCACATATGTCACATTTGTATGGTTTTTCTCCAGTGTGGACTCTCTGATGAGCTTGAAGACGTGCACTCTGACTGAAGCCTTTACCACACTCTTTACATTTGAAGAGTTTTTCCCTGGTGTGAACACCCAGATGGACTCGAAGATTTGAGGGGAGACTGAAAGCCTTACCACACTCCTCACATACATGGGGTTTCTCTCCCGTGTGGACCCTCTGATGATGGCGAAGATTCAAGCTCCTACCAAAACCTTTTCCACACTCTCCACATTTGTAAGGTTTTTCTCCAGTATGGCCTCTCTGATGGTATATAAACTGTGAACTGTATCTAAAGCCCTTTCCACACACATCACATTTGTATGGCTTTTCCCCTGTGTGGACTCTCTGATGGGATTGAAGACCAGAGGACTGACTGAAGCCCTTACCACAGACACCACATTTGTATGGCTTCTCTCCAGTATGGACTCTCTGATGTACCCGAAAATCTATGGCCTGACTGAAGCTTTTATCACATTGCTCACATTTATAGGGTTTCTCTCCTGAGTGAACTCTTTGATGCGCATGAAGATTTGATCTCCAACTAAAGCCCTTTCCACATTCCTCACATTTATATGGTTTTTCTCCTGTGTGAATTACTTGATGTAGTTTAAGATTTGAACTGTAACTGAAGTCCTTACCACACACATCACATCTGTATGGTTTCTCTCCAGTGTGGACTCTCTGATGGGTTTGAAGCTTTGAGGACTGACTGAAGCCCTTCCCACACGTTTCACATTTGAATCGTTTCTCCCCAGTGTGGACATTCTGATGGACTTGAAGATTCGAAGCCTGACTGAAGCCCTTACCACACTCCTTACATTTATAGGGTTTCTCTCCCGTGTGAACTCTGAAATGAATATGCAGATCTGTATTACGTGTAAAGCCTTTCCCACACGCCTCACATTTGTATGGCTTCTCTCCAGTGTGGACTCTCCGATGGCATATTAATGGTGAATTGTGGCTGAAGCCCTTACCACACACATCACATTTGTACGGTTTCTCCCCAGTGTGGACTCTCTGATGGATATGAAAATGTGCAGCCTGAGTGAAGCCCTTACCACACTCCTCACATTTATAGGGTTTCTCACCCCTGTGGACCCTCTGGTGAACACGGAGATTAACACTCCAGCCGAAGCCCTTACCACACTCTTCACATTTGTATGGTTTTTCTTCAGTATGGACTCTCTGATGGCACTGAAAATTTGAACTTTGACTAAAGCATTTACCACATTCCTCGCATTTATACGGTTTCTCTCCAGTATGAGTTCTGTAATGAATGATAAGACCCGTGCTGCTACTGAATCCTTTGCCACAGCTGTCACATCTATAGGACTTCTCTCCTGTATTAGATTGATAAAAATGGAAAGAGTTCTTATTGAAGCAATTACCAGATCCATAATATCTATTGAGTTTCTCTCCCGGGTGAATTCTCTCATGAGTTTGCAGATGTGAGCTTTGACTAAGGTATTTTTCTCCTGTGTGAACATTCTGATGAAGGGGAAGCCCTGGGCTATAAATGAAGCCCATTCCACACTCACCACATGGATGGGGTTTCTCTCCTAAGGATAATTTCTGATTGGAGCCATCACTAATGATTTTGCCACATTCATTACCTTTGCAGGGTTTTGGTTCTGTGTCAGTTTTAATATGCTCATGACATGATGATTTCTTCATTAAGTCTTCATGTATATGCAGGTTATTTTTCACATCAGTTTGCTTACTTCTACTCTGAATCTGTGACTCACTCAGATATGTATTCCTACAAGAATGCTGGGTTCTCCAAAACAGAAACTCCTGATTTTCAATATAAACAGAGCTATCTCCTGTAGAGTTCATTATATTGTTCTCATTTTCAGAAACCTGAATAGAGTCACCTTGTACTAAGTGGGAACTCTTCCCCTGTAGACACCTGGTTAATTCATTTGCAACTTGTTTCCAGATTTGCCAGCAGGACAGCTCTTGATTTGAAAGGTATTTTAATGCAAATTTTTGAAGAGTCTCCATCTTATTTTGATGCTTGCTGCCTATTTAAAAAAAAAAAAAAGTAATATTTAGATATGAGGGCAAGTAAACACTTTCTTCAGAAATAGAATTTCACACATAGGCCATAGGAGAAAGCCTTAATAAACCAGGGGAAAGGTGACCTTGTCCTTACAGTATCATGTATTCTTTTTTTTTTTTCTTTTTTTTTTGAGACTGAGTTTCGCTCTTGTTACCCAGGCTGGAGTGCAATGGCGCGATCTCGGTTCACCACAACCTCCGCCTCCTGAGTTTAAGCAATTCTCCTGCCTCAGCCTCCCGGGTAGCTGGGATTACAGGCATGTGCCACCATGCCCAGCTAATTTTTGTATTTTTAGTAGAGACGGGGTTTCACCATGTTGACCAGGATGGTCTCGATCTCTTGACCTCGTGATCCACCCGCCTCGGCCTCCCAAAGTGCTGGGATTATAGGCGTGAGCCACCGCGCCCAGCCAGTATCATGTATTCTTTTGTCATGTTTTTCATACAGGTATAAGCAGAGTGGAGTCAACAGGTTCCGATTCACTATGTATAAATATGATCCATTTAGAATAGTTAAGTCTCACAGTTTAATATGAGAGCTAAACACTGAAATCAGGTGGCTGCAGGGCAACAAAAAGACAATCGACATTGCAACCTACGTAACATCAATTAACAACTTAACTCTGGCTCAGTAGGCTTATCACAAGTGTAATTCTAATAACTAGTTATGTTAGGAAAGTTCAGACTATGAGCATAATATAGTATTTTAGATCCTGATGGAAATTATTTTCCAACAGGAAATTTGGGAAAGCAGTTGAACTAATAAGATGATTATTCTAAAGCCTGGTAGAAATCCAAGTCTCTGGACAAGAAGTGGAAAAGAGAAAGCTAATCTTGTATAACTAGGAGAGAAGTTCGGAGAGGTAAGAAGTAGAGCATAGTGCAAACTCTCAAAGTCAACACGGAAGACTAAGAGAGGGAGAGGTATTTTCAGCTTGGAAAGCTTCCTCCCAGGAAGCAGGGAGCCTTGCTTGTTCTCTCACTCCCTTCAGGTCTCTGTTCAAATGTTACTTTCTCTCTGATGCCTTCCATAACACAAAAGTAAATCCATGGTACCACCATATACCTTTTTTTTTTTTTTTTTTTTTTTTCTGAAATGGAGTCTCACTCTTGTTACCCAGGCTGGAGTACAGTGGTGCAATCTCAGCTCACTGCAACCTCTGCCTCCCAGGTTCAAGAGATTTTCCTCCTCAGCTTCCCGAGTAGTGGGGATTACTGGCTCATGCCACTACACCCAGCTAATTTTTGTATTTTTAGCAGAGATGGGGTTTTGCCATGTTGGCCAGGCTGGTCTCGAACTCCTGACCTCAAGTGATCCACCCACCTCAGCCTCCCAAAGTGCTGGGATTACAGGCATGAGCCACCATGCCCAGCCCACCACACACCTTTGACTCTTCCCAGTTCCCTTACTCTGCTTGACTCTTCCCCACAGTACTTATTATTTGATTTACTATATACTTCCCTTGTTTTTTTCCCCTTTGTCTCTTAGACCCACTAGAATGTAATGGTCATGAAAAAAACACGAATTTTGTTTTCTTCATTGCTTTATCCCCACTGTAACAAGGGTTTTCAAATTGTTGTGATGCATTAGTGCATCATGAAACCCAGCATGTAACTTGTGACAAAAAAAAAAACCAAAAAAACAGAATAAGAGAACATGCTTAGAATATTACAAGCAATAAGTGCACCACTGTAGGAAATACTTGTTTTAGTTTGTAAACATACACATAAATATGAGCATATTTATGCTCAGTCAAGATGTAAAATTATACTTAATTTGAGGGTGGTGGTTAGAAATGTATGAAAGACCCTAGCTTAAAATGTTTAGGGGGTGGTTTACCAAGTCCTTCATCAAATAATTTGCTTAAATGGAATGTTATATTCTAATAATACAAACTGAAAAAAAATGTATCAACAGATATATCTACACATTTCTGGATATGGCAGGCTGAGTAATAACCCCCCACCCCGAAGAGATGTCTACATCCTGAACTCGCAAACCTGTGAGTATGTTAATGTATATGGCAAAAAGGAATTTACAGGCCGGGCCCAGTGGCTCACGCCTATAATCCCAGCACTTTGGGAGGCCAAGGATCACTTGACATCAGGAGTTTGAGACCAGTCTGGCCAACATGGTGAAACCCCGTCTCCACTAACAAAAAATATTAAAAATTAGCCTGGCATGATGGTGGGCACCTGTAATCCTAGCTACTAGGGAAGCTGAGATATGAGAATCACTTGAACCCAGGAGGTGGAGGTTGCAATGAGCCAAGATTGCGCCACTGCACTTCAGCCTAGATGACAGAGGAAGACTGTCTTAAAAAAAAAGGAATTTACAGATATGATTAAATAAAAGCTCTCAAGATAAAAAGATTATCTTGGATTAACCAGTGAGCCCAAAGTAATCACAAGTCCTTATAAAAAGGGAAGCAAGAGGGAACTCTCCCAGATTTCGCCCCATGCATCTCTTCCTTTTGCTCATTCCAATGTGTATCTTTTTTGCTACAATAAAAGTCTAAGTCTAGTACCTTCCTGAGTTCTGATGTTCATTCTAAGAAATTATCCCAAATTTGTAGCTACTTGGTCAGAAGTGACCAAAATTATCTGGGAATCCCTAAATTTAGAGCTAATATAGACAGCAGTCTTGTGGAAGACTACGCCCGTAATCTGAAAGTCTGGCCTAAATTCAGGTGTTTGCTGTCCTAAGTCACTGCAACCAAAAAGTGCTTCTCTTATTGCCTGTGCTAGCAGCTAAGATTAATATATGTGGATGTAAATTACACTGGAAAACCGAATTCAAAATTCTGGAATTTTCTTTTCCTAATTAGGACTCACCTCAACTCCACAGGTATGTCAGTGCCTTTGGACTTCTGAAAATGTCCAATTGAAACCTCTAAAGAACTACTCTATGTAGGTTATATAACTGTTTTGGTATTGGAGGGAAGGGAACATGGGAAAGTGGGAAGTTACCTGAATGGATGAGGCAGTTTTCACCAATGAGTAAAGCCAACTTGAAACTGATACAAGGAAAATGATGAGCTGCACTACCTGCCATATTGGCATTGATAATTTTTGATAGTATAGTTATATATTCCAACAACTGAATAGCTTTTGTTTTCTAAGGTCAGGTTTGAATCTTTACATATCCAAAAATGTCTTAGAAATTAAGAGTTATGTTAGAGATTCACTGGAAGACAATTCCCAAGTAATTAATTAATCACACTAGTGTGCTCTCAACCAATGAGCTAATTCCGAGTAATAGGAATGTAAGGTCTACTTGTCTCCATTCTCTGTAAGCTTTTTGTTAAGAACTCTTACAAAAACAAACTGTTTGGCTTGGCACGGTGGCTCATGCCAGTAATCCCACCACTCTGGGAGACCAAGACGGGTGAATCACAAGATCAGGAGTTTGAGACCAGCCTGGCCAACATGGTGAAACCCCATCTCTACTAAAAATACAAAAATTAGCCAGGCATGGTAGCAGGTGCCTGTAATCCCAGCTACTCAGGAGGCTGAAGCAGGAAAATTGCTTGAACCCAGGAGGCAAAGGTTGCAGTGAACCAAGATCATCCACCCCAGCCTTGGCGACACAGTGAGACTTCCAACCTGGGCAACACAGTGAGACTCCATCTCGGGGAGGAGCTCTTTAATATGTGTTCCTCTGATTTACGAAGAAAGTTTTAGAATATTACTTGTACGTGGAGCATGGTTGCAAAATCCTGAAATGTTGAAGGCATTAAAGAAAAACCTTTGAGATAGGGTGGCAGAAAATGCTACAAGATTTGCTAAAAGGACTTTGTCTATTATGCAAAAATGAAAAGTGACAATACCTAGGATAATTCCTGAGGTAAACTGAAGCAAGTATCTAACATTTCTAAACACATCAAAGGAATTTACGGATATGATTAAATGTAGACCCAAAAAGGGAGATAAACCAAAAAAGATGAATTATATTCATCAACTAACTACTCACAGAATTGAGGGCCTAGTCTATCATGTTAATAGGTGAGCTTCCTGTTTTGTTTTTGGGGTGGGGAGAGCATATAAATTTACATAATCTCGGAATACCTAATTTTTTTTTAATTGCATTTTAGGAATACCTAATTTTTAATTTTGTGTGTGTGAGAGTCAAGTTCTCACTGTTGTTCAGGTTGGTCTCAAATTCCTGGGCTCACTTGATCCTCCTGCCTCAGCCTCCCAAGTAGCTGGGACTACAAGTACATGTTAATATACCTAGCTAATTTTTTAAAATGTTTTAATAGAGATGGAGTCTCACTATGTTGTCCAGGTTGGTCTGGAACTCTTCCGCTCAAGTGATCCTCCCACTTCAGTCTCCCATGTAGCCAGGATTACAGGTGTGCACCACTATGCCCGGCTTACTTTTAATTTTTAAGTCAGTAGACCTGAAAAATATGCAAATTAAAGAGAAAGCAGAGAAGGAGAGAAAGGAAGGGTAAGGGGATGGAAAATGGAAGGAAGATGGTATTTCAAATTAAAATGGTAAATTTAAACACAGGAGGCCTCTCTAATGATTTAACATTTAAGCAATGACTTGAGTGCAGTAGTAAGTAAGGTGCTGGGGAGACTCCACCAAAACAAGGAGAAGAGCTAGTCAGGGGCCACGGAACAGAAGGAACTCAGCATGTTTAACAAATACTCCAAGGGCAGCCAACATGGCTGGGATGATCTAAGCAAAGGGAAAGGAATGGGAGATCAAAGAGAAACCTGGTAAGATCAGACCAGTTAGGGTCTTGCAGTTCAGTACAAGGCCTCTGAATAAACTGGGAAGGCTGTGAAGGCTTCTGGGCAGAGGAATGACGTCATCTAATGTGTTCTTTAAAGAACCATTCTGGGCCAGGTGCAGCAGCTCACATCTGTAATCCCAGTGCTTTGGGAGGCTGAGGTGGGAAGACTGCTTGAGCCTAGGAGTTTCAGACCAGCTTGGGCAACATAGCAAGACCTCTTCTCTACAAAAAATAAAAAATTAGCCAGTTGTCATGATATACACCTGTAGTCCTAGCTACTTGGAAGGCTGAGGCAGGAGGATCACTTGAAATCAGGAGGATGAGGCGGCAGTAAGCTACAATCACACCGCTACACTCCAGCTTGGGAGAAAGGGTGAGACCCTATCTCAAAAAATAGAAAGATATTTTAAAAAAGAACCACTCTGGCTACCATTTAGAAATTAGTCTATAGGAGCACAAGGGAGGAGGTACGGAGACCAGCATGGAAGCTGCTGTTATAATCCAGGTGAAAGAAGACAGCACTCAGACCAGGGAGGTCATGGACATGGTAAGACGCAGACTAATCAGTACCTGAAAGAACAGCCACAGGGTTCTCACCAGAATACCTACTTCTTTGGGTTTCTGCTTCCATCATCCAAAGCTTTTCTTCTGCTTCCAGTTGGGATACCATATCTGGTTGGAAGGGAAGATGCCCTATGAAAATGTAGATTTATATGTATTTAAGATGAACACACAACTAAAATACATTTTTGTCAGAACCTATAAGCCTCACAACCTCTAGAGTGATATGTTATTACTTATTTTATTTATTTATTTAGTTTTTGAGACAGTCTCGCTCTGTTGCCCAGGCTAAAGTGCAATGGCACAATCTCAGCTCACTGCAACCTCTGCCTCACCTCCAGGGTTCAAGAGATTCTCCTCCCTCCCTAGTAATTGGGATTACAGGTACCTGCCATCACGCCCAGCTAATTTCTGCATTTTTAGTAGAGATGGGGTTTCACCGTGTTAGCCAGGCTGGTCTCGAACTCCTGACCTCAAGTGATCCACCCACCTTGGCCTCCCAGAGTGCTGCAATTACAAGCATATATCGCCACATCCGGCCTCTAGAGTGATTTATTTGAAGATGTTTTTAGATCATTAACTATAATAAGAAATTTAGGTTGTGGCCTAGTTCATTCATATATATATATATATATATATATATATATATATGAGATTTAGCAGAATTCCTGACTACTACCCACAAGATGCCAATAGCACCCCTCCATCAGGTGTGACAACCATTTCCAGACAATGCCAAATATCTTCTAGGGACAAAATCACCAGTGGTTGAGAACCAGCAATTTAAAACGGACAGAATTTTGCCTGAGCAGAAAGACTAGAAAAACCTATGCTGTTGTCCCAGGAATTAGAAAACCTTTTGTCTTCAAGAACAAGGAATCATTTTTAAAAGGTCCAAACCCTTGAACACCTCTTCAAGCACAAAGATTCTCAAGGGAGTTCAGGTTCAGGGTCAGAGAGCGCCTGTCCTCACCCACTGCAACCAGGTTCTTGAAGTTCTCCACCATGACATCTTGGTACAGCTTCCTCTGTGTAAGATCCAGCAGTCGCAGTTCCTCGCTGGAGAAGACCACAGCCACATCCTTGAATGTCACAGCCTCCTACAACATCAAACACATAACCTCAATCTTATAACCAACCTGCAATGGAAGAAGGGTGGCTTCAAGAAGGCAAAAGCACCACAAAAAAAATTGTTAGAGATTCTAAGAGATCTCAGTCAATTTTCAGTTCTGACAGTTTCTCTCACTGTCTCCTACCCCCGCCCCTACAAAGCCTGGACTTTATCACTGTTTTTCTGTTTTCTTCTTTTTTGAGATGGAGTCTTACTCTGTCACCCATGCTGGAGTGCAGTGGCACAATCTCTGCTCAGTGCAGCCTCTATCTCCTGGGTTCAGAGATTCTCCTGCCTTAGTCTCCTAAGTAGCTAGGATTACAAGCGCCCACCACCAAACCCAGCTGACTTTTGTATTTTTTTTTAGTAGAGACGGGGTTTCACCATGTTGGCCAGGCTGGTCTCAAACACCTGACCTCCAGTGATCCACTGGCCACAGAGTCCCAAAGTGCTGGGAACAGGCCTGAACTACCACACCTGGCCCTATCATCGTTTTTAATGTTTGCAAAGTTCACAGGCCTTCAGCAACCCTGAAGACAGGTATGTAGTTCATCCTGTGCTTTCAAGGCACACGTCCTTTTATCCACCTACTACAGGATGCACAGCTGCTTAAAGAGCACTGGCTCTGGAGTCTGGCCACGTTCAAATTTCAAGGTTTTGCCTTTTACTTATTATAGGACCTTGGGCAAATTCCTTAATCTCTCACTATCTCAATTTCTTCTTTATCATGGTATCTAAATCATAAGTTGTATGAGCCTGACACAGAAGAACTGCTTCAGCCCAGGAGTTTGAGGCTACAGTGAGCCATGATTGTGCCACTGCATTTCAGCCTGGGCAACAGAGTGAGACCCTGTCTCAATTTTTTAAAATAAATAAATTTTCAGGCTAGGTAAAGTGGCTCACACCTGTAATGCCAAGACTTTTGGAGGCCTCACTTGAGGCTAGGAGTTTGAGACCAACCTGGCCAACATGCTGAAACCCCATCTCCACTAAAAATACAAAAAAATTAGCCAGGCTTGGTGATGTGTTTCTGTAATCCCAGCTACTCAGGAGGCTGAGGCAGGAGAAATCACTTATAACCGGGAAGCGGAGGTTGCAGTGAGCCGAGATGGCACCACCACACTCCAGACAGGGTGAGACACTGTCTTAAATAAATTTTTTAAATTAAAATAAATCAATCATAAAGAGTTTGAAAGGATTAGATGAGTGAAGATATGTAAAGCACTTAGAAATACCTGGGACAGGCCGGGCACGGTGGCTCAAGCCTGTAATCCCAGCACTTTGGAAGGCCGAGGCGGGTGGATCACGAGGTCAAGAGATCGAGACCATCCTGGTCAACATAGTGAAACCCTGTCTCTACTTAAAATACAAAAAATTAGCTGGGCACGGTGGCGCGTGCCTGTAATCCCAGCTACTCAGGAGGCTGAGGCAGGAGAATTGCCTGAGCCCAGGAGGCGGAGGTTGCAGTGAGCCGAGATCGTGCCATTACACTCCAGCCTGGGTAACAAGAGCGAAACTCCGTCTCAAAAAAAAAAAAAAAAAAAAAAAAAAAGAAATACCTGGGACACCATACGTGCTCAATAAATTGGAACAACTAATACCTTTATGATGTTTTGTCCCATTTTGTGATTACATACAATAGTATTCCTTGGAACTGATGATTTATCTTTAACCAATCCAAATAATGTACAATTAATTACAGAGTTTTACTTATAACCAATACTGCAAAGATCCTTTTACAGAGACCATGGCCAAGAAGTACCAACTGCAAAGTCACAGAATATTTACTTTTAAAATTTTTAGCCGGGCGCAGTGGCTCATGCCTGTAATCCCAGCACTTTGGGAGGTCAAGGCAGGCAGATCACCTAAGGTCAAGAGTTCAAAATCGGCTGGGTGTGGTGGCTCAAGCCTGTAATCCCAGCACTTTGGGAGGCCGAGGCAGGTGGATCACGAGGTCAAGAGATCAAGACCATTCTGGTCAATATGGTGAAACCCCGTCTCTACTAAAATACAAAAAAAATTAGCTGGGCATGGTGGCGTGTGCCTGTAATCCCAGCTACTCAGGAGGCTGAGGCAGGAGAATTGCCTGAACCCAGGAGGTGGAGGTTGTGGTGAACCGAGATCGTGCCATTGCACTCCAGCCTGGGTAACAAGAGTGAAACTCCATCTCAAAAAAAAAAAAAGAGTTCAAAACCAGCCTGGCCAACATGGTGAAACCCCATCTCTACTAAAAATACAAAAATTAGCCAGACGCAGTGATGGGCACCTGTAATCCCAGCTACTTGGGAGGCTAAGGCAGGAGAATCACTTGAATCTAGGAGGTGGAGGTTGCAGAGAGCTGAGATCATGCCATTGCACTACAGCCTGGGCAAAAGAGCAAAACACCGTCTCAAAAAAAAAAAAATTGAAAGTATAATTGCAGATTTTTCTCTCCAAAGGTTTTCCCAGTTCACTTTTTATGCAACAGTACAAGCATTCCTGAATCTCTAGACCCTGGCTAAACAGGACTCAGTTCCTTTTTCTAAAAAAGTCATTGACAATATAAGTAAAACCAAATACATAGATAGAAAGCTCTTTTATTAACATTTTCACACATTAAAATTATTAGTGAAGATCATTTTTTCCATAAATTTATTTCTTTCCTTAATGACACTCCTATTGATTTCTTTTGCTCATATTCCAGTTGAGATTTTCTCTACATTACTAATCTTAACAGGAATTTAACCTATTAAGACCTTTACCTAATGTTTAAGTATATCCCACCAGTTTGCTACTGTCTTTACTATCATGCCTGATAGCTTTTGCTATAGGGAAATTTAAAACACTTATATAAAAACTGTGCTTGAGCATCTACCTTCATGGAATGACTAAGAGACAAAACTATAGAAGAGATAGGCGCTGAGATGGAAACTGAATGAGAGGCATTGTTGGGGTCTGTCCTCCAAAAGGTAACATCAGGGCCAGGTGCAGTGGTTCATGCCTGTAATCCCAGCACTTAGAGAGGCTGAGGTGGGTGAATCACCTGAGGTCAGGAGATCAAGACCAGCCTGGCCAATGTGGTGGAACCCCATCTCTAATAAAAATACAGAATTAGCCAGGCACGGTGGTGCATGCCTGTAATCACAGCTACTCAGGAAGCTGAGGCAGGACAATCGCCTGAACCTGGGAGGCAGAAGTTGCAGTAAGCTGAGACTGTGCCACTGCCCTCTGGCTCTGGCCTGGGAGACAAGAATGAAACTCTGTCTCAAAAAAAAAAAAAAAGTAACATCAGGTACTTCTATGATATGCACTCATGTCTCTGAATGGAAAACTCTTTTGTTCTATCTACCTTTACATGAATATAGAATGTCAGATATTCCTAAGAGTTGAAAGCTTCAGTGTCCAATGAGTAAGCTACCTGGAAAATTTAGGGCAGTTGTAAAATGTTCCCATAACCTGTTTCCTCATATTTAAAATGCAGACAAATCATCTCCATCCTCACATTTGACAAACTGCAATGACAGATGGAAAGCATTGGCAAGACATCTAAGTACTACTAGACCTTAAACTATATACATGTTACTTTGATGAAATAAATTCATCCAAGAAATAAAACAGATGAGTGATAAAAACATAAACAGGAAAAAATATATAGCTCTTCTTCTGTGAAAACATTTAATAATATTACACCATGTCATTCTTTAGATATGCTGTTTACAAAACACCTGAGGGAACCAACATGAAACTGAGACACGAACCTCTTCAACGCAGAGCTCCTAAAACTTTAGGGATAAATAATATTGAATTCCTTCAAAAATGCTTTTAAAGAAATTGTTTTTATATGTAGGAAAAAAAGTCACTGCATTTAAAGTAGTAAAATTCTTAGAATTTCTGAAAGGCTGAATAATGAATACTTTTTGTTGTTGTTTTTTAAGGGCACTGCAATTCAATGGCATATGATGTAATCACAATGCAGATGATGCAATTAAGTGGAGAATGCACAATTGAAAATTTCATCAGGCCGGGCGCGGTGGCTCAAGCCTGTAATCCCAGCACTTTGGGAGGCCGAGGCGGGTGGATCATGAGGTCAAGAGATCGAGACAATCCTGGTCAACATGGTGAAACCCCGTCTCTACTAAAAATACCAAAAAAATTAGCTGGGCATGGTGGTGCGTGCCTGTAATCCCAGCTACTCAGGAGGCTGAGGCAGGAGAATTGCCTGAACCCAGGAGGCGGAGGTTGCGGTGAGCCGAGATCACGCCATTGCACTCCAGCTTGGGTAACAAGAGCAAAACTCCATCTCAAAAAAAAAAAAAAAAAAAAATTTCATCTACTCAAGTATTGCAAAATGTGTATGCAAAAGAGTATGGGAAAATGAAAAAAGCTAGTTTATGAGCAGGAAAGTAGCATAGATTATTTCTGATTAAAGCTTCTCTTATTTTTTCAAAGACTGGTTTTTTTTGTTGTTTTTTTTTTAATTGCATTTTAGGTTTGGGGGTACATGTGAAGAACATGCAAGATTTTTGCATAGGTACACACATGGCAGTGTGGTTTGCTGCCTTCCTTCCCCTCACCTGTATCTGTCATATCTCCCCATGCTACCTCTTCAAAGACTGTTTTGTAAAATACTAAAGGTGATAAACTAAAACAAACAAAACACACACATCTTAGCATACAGCATGCCCTGAAGATCTGTTTTTCACTAACCTTTCCAAGAAAGAGGAAAAATAAATCTCTAATCTGCAAGAAATAAATCACATCTTAAAAGACAGTAAGGAATACTTAACTTACCTGAAACCTGGTCATTTTCTCCTGCTCCTTCTGGGGAAAATCATAGTCCTGAGATAGCATAACTGGGAAAGACCAAAGAAGCCATGAGACACAAGCCTGTTGTTAGCCCATGTGGACTTATGAGGAAATTACAGAAATAGCCCCACATTAAGACAAGTACAGCCACACAAAGCTTGGTAAGCAAAATATGGACTGTATTCTAGCTAGTCAAAGGCCTGA